TGAGGCCCGATTCGAAGTTTGTGTTGGTGACAGTCGCAATACAGTTATTCCCAAAAAAATGAAGCATTCCATGTTGACTGTCTGAAGAGAAAAGTGAAATTTCCAGCATCCATTATGGTCTGGGGCAGTATGTCATCAAAAGGAGTAGGAAAACTTCATTTTGGTGAAGGAAATGTGGATACAAACAAAAATTTGGCAATTTTAGAAGAATCGCTTTTACCAGTGATGGAAGAATGTTTGACATTCGGCCAAGATTTTGTGTTTCAGCAAGATGGTGCAGCGTGCCATACCTCAAAAAAGGCTATAAAATGGATGGAAGAAAATAATGTACCACTTTTGAAATGGGTTTCTAGCAGTCCAGATCTGTCTCCTATTGAAACTTTGTGGTACGAGATGAAAAAGGTTCTACGACAACATCCTGCTCGTACAATCACCGAACTGAGACAAAAACCTCAAGAAATATACGATTGTTTTACACCAAGTTTTGTCAAAACACTATGCCCCAAAGAACTTCAGCCGTAATAAAAAATAAAGGTGATGTTACCCAATGGTAATCTTTCAATTGTTGCTTTGTTAACTTCGCGCATTTATTCGCACATTGTTTATTTGTTCAGATGTTCTATTAGTTATACGTCTAAGTATATGTATTTTTGACGACTAGAGTGTATTTAAATTGTTTTTGAGAAAATAAATTGTTTTAGAAGTAAATAGTTTCATGTTTAGTTTATAAAGGCATATTTTGGTACAAATCTTCAAGTGGGCCAACTGAAGTGGGAGGGGGCTCGTATAATGTTCAATCGATACTAAAAACACTGCGTATCATCTCTGTGTAATTCCCCTAAACCGAATCCACCACGGTTGCCAGATCGTTTAGCTCAGTTTCAATGTGAAAATCCCCTAAATTTCAGGACCCAAAAAAACATTTATTTTTTGTTACCATATGTTTACGATTTGTTAGGTATTCTTAGATATTAAAATATTTTTTGAGCGACATAAATACTCAAAATAAAAGTAAAAATATTTCTTTCAAATCGAAAGACAAATAAATACATAAATACGTTATTTCATTAATAAATTTTTACAAAATAACCAGTAAAATGTTTTCCCAGAAAAAAATATCCCCAAAATCTTCCCCACTGAAATAAAAATCCCCTGAAGTGGACCAGCGAAAGGAAACAAGGAAGAAAAGTAATGTGAAGTCACTCTTTCTGACACAGTCCAGATCAAACGATAACGATACTCGTGAAATGTATCGATACACCCAAGTATCATATATAGAAATATCGATTTAAAATATCGGGTATCGGATACAAAAGTATCGATACTTCTAAATATCGGATCGTATCGAACATCCCTACGTCCCACACGTTGAAAGTCGTGAAACCAATGTTTGATGGTCACCATCGAAGAATAAGGGTCACCGTACACAGCATCCATAATGCTGTTTGATTTTCTGCGCGATTTTCCTTCCAAAAACAAGAATCGAATCACCGACCGATATTGCTCTTTTTCCATTTCTCTAAAATCCGCGGAGTTCGATTTGGCTGAAATGGCGACAGTAGCCATCTACGAGGATATATTACACAGTAAATTTCTCTTGCGATAGCGGCGACATCGGGCAGTGAGCCGAATACTTATCGGAACGCCCTGGTATGTCATTATTGTACTTTAAACCCGTCTATGGAGATGTTTAGAAAAAGATAACTTTAACACAATATTTAATAAAGATACCAGAGATCTACCTTTTCAGCAAATATTACAAGACAATCATTGTATGCGTCGTGAAAAATTTTCCTTCAGTCAAAAGTTCCTCCTTGGAGTTTGTCTGAAGGCTGATTTTATAAGTTGCATGGCTGAGCAGCTATTATGATATACTATCATCACAAAAGATTTATTCAAATGGACGTAATTTGAAGCTCGCGTCATACTTGTGCTTAATTTTAAGCAATATACCAATTGCAAATTTTCTTATATTAGAGCGTACAGCTCAATCAGTGAACGAATCGCGTGAATTTGATTCTCATTTTCATTTATTAAGTTAAATTGTTTATGGTTATGATTCGCATAGTTTTCTTACCAATGTTGTCAATGTAATTTTTTAAATTAAATTGTTTATGGCTATGATTCGCGTGATTTTTTTTCAAAACAGCATAATTCTGCAATAATTGAGATATTGACATGAATGAAGAAAAAACTGTTGATAAAAGTTAAGGCTTAAAATTCCCATACGAAGACACATTATTCAGTAATCCAATGTTTCCACAGGGTGTTCAGAAATTTAGGGCAAAATGCACCTTTTAGTTACACCCTGTATAACAACAAACATTTTACATTTTTTTTGCAAGATTGGCAGTCGGTAATGATTACAATGAAATCACCTACAACTTGACGAAAAAATTAACGAAATTGATGCAAAAGTCAAAAAGTTATTTATTGAACAAAATTTTGTTTGTCCGGTTAATTTTGCGTGGCAGTGTATATTCTGCGCCACTGACTTTTCTGTAGTCTCTGCTTGAGAAATACTTCCACTGTTTTTCAAATCACCATGTATAAACCATAGTACGGGTGGGAAATTATCATTCTGAACTGATAAAGGTACTTACTCTTTTGATCTTGTGAAAACCCTGTAAGTACAATGTCGGTAAAATTTCCGTCCTTCGGAGGATTTTTTATCGAATACGAACTGACCATGGTGACGTCATGACCTGCCTCTACAAGTCCTCTCGCAAGGGCTTCCCCTAAGATGTAATGACTTGGCAGGGGCGATGGAAACACTACCAGTATCTTGTAACATTCTGATGTTGAATACAGAAAGCCGAGTGTGAGCACGCTGATCAGTGGAATCATGATGTTATGAAGTTATGATAATACTGCTACGTCGTTTGATGAGATTCTAGCCGTTACATGTTTTATCGTATATGAGAACAAAGCTCATTGGCGTACAGAATTCCGAACATTGCTTTCTTGAGTTATGAAGTTGGGCCTAGTTGCCTAATCATGAAAGTGAAAAACTGGCACTTTTAAAGTTTCTGGATACGAAGTGTTTCTGGGTGTACAGAAAATTTAATTGCTTACTATTTCGTCCTCTAAATTAGAGTAGTCTTGTTCTAAATGGACGCCTTAGTGTATTTTTGCACACGTCAATAGAATCGTTTATTCTGATTTGAAAAACGTATAATATGTGATACATTCTTAGATTCGGTATCTATAAAACGCCTACAAAAAAAAATCAAAATTCTTGCTGTAGATTGATAGAAAACTTGAGAACATTAGTCCATATTCCTACATTTTTTCAGAAACTAGGTTGGCTGAATGTTACAAAATTGTATAAATATCATTTACTACGAACCCCTTCGCACTTCAGTTGGCCCACCTATTGAAATCTTAGTTTTTTTCATATCAAACACAAATAATAAAAATGTAGCATGTTATAGGTTTACATTTAATTTCCGCTATTTTTTATTATTTCCAGTACTCTCTAACACATCCCCTATTACATTATGTACTAGTAGTTTATTATTTGGTACAAGAATGATCATAAGTGTGTATGTGTGTTTATCACATAACAGCTAGAAAATGCTGATAACCTGATGTTAGGAAATGCGTTATTAATCAAATGGGAATTATAGATTATATTGTCAGTTTATATCAGTTATGGAATTGCTCAGACGGATCTAAATGTTTGTGCGTGAGGTAGATGGATTTTTTTCTTTTAAATGATACTGCATTTCAGATAATAACTTTGGAAATTACTAGGTTATGTTTATATTCGCGTGTTTAGGTGAATGTAACAGAGTTCAATTATCTAGTATAACATGAGAAATACGCGTTTTGCATCAATTTTCTCGCGATAGCTGTCACAAGGTAGTACTTGTCCTTTAGAATATGTACAGATCAAGTTAGTTACCTCACTAAATACGCCGACTCTTGAGCGACGTCATACAATGTAACGTTGGGACAGTTCTCCTGACTTTAGATGCTTAAGGTGGGCACTATTGGAGATTGGGGCACACGCAGTCTGAAAACTGGAATTATTTGGAGATAGTTGTGGGGGCGCATGCGCCTAACTATGGATAAGAAAATGTTACTGCATTTGTAGAATATTGTTGTAAAGAGTGCATGGTTTTGTTGACAAATAGTAGTTCTCGTAAAACACTTCCTCTAGAATGTACTAGATTCGCATTAAACCCTTTACCCGAGAGAAAGCTCCTGAGAAATCATGAATAATTTATTGATACGCATTGATTAAATATGACCTTGACGTTGGTGTGTATTTTATTTTCTATCAGGTTTTGTGATTCATTCCATAATGACCGAACTGAATATGTTTGCTTTTCGTCTCTGTAACCATGACCAATCGCATACAGCGCTGTTTCGTGTTCACTAGCACTCATCAGTGCGATGTAGGCCTATCAATTATAGTGGTGCGACATCTATCTGTAGCAGTTATAAGCCAAAAGACAGTCCAGAGACAGTTTTACAGAGGTGATGGTAGTTAACCTATAATTGAATCTCCTACAACATATCATTCATCAAACAGATGTTTTGGTCTACAGGTAAAAAGTTGCTTATATGATACAGTTGGAGATTACAAGCGAAAGTTTTAAAATATTCACAATATTTCTGGATAGTCATGACAGCGCACTTTTTGGCACTATCTACAGATTTTAATATCGTTGGTATCTTGGAACGCTTTTTTTATACTCGAACTACCACGAAAGCCTAGGCACCTTATTCATTCTGTTTTGCTTTTACATTTTTCATACAAATTAAACATTGTCATTGACATAGTAGTAAAAATTTCATCAAAATCCGAGTGGTACTTCTTAAGTCATAGGCGGTTATAAAATTCGTCGACAGACAAATGTGACTTGTGTTTTCGTGATGTACATGTCATCTAATATCCAAAAACGTATCTCAATTTCGAAATGTTCCGCGATTACAATACTTCCTTCCCAGTTTTGGCATAGGAAGTAAAAATGGTGATTCAAAACAACAAATAGTTTCAGTATTAATTTATTTCACATTCCTATAAAAAATAAACAGATTCACACAACAAAATTCTCAAAATAATCATACAAAAACATTTTACCCCAATTTGCTCTTCATCACAGTTACAAACGTGTTCAACCCCTTGTCGTTCCCTTCGTGGTAGTAGGGCAGCGCTTGCATTTTGCTCAGCCATTCTGTGATCCGGGGGTATCTGTTCGAGGCGATTGGCACCAAAGCATTGCTGGAGCTGATGGTGGACACAATGGCGAAGTCGGCGATGGTCACGTGGGGTCCAGCGACGTAGGTGCTCTGTTCCAGTAGGGATTCGAGCTTCTGGTATCCTGTAAGGACACAATAAAATATACAGGGTGTCCCAGAAGTCGACGTCAAGCCGAAACCGGGTGATAGGCAAAGTCATAACAGCTATCAGAAAAATATTTAAAAAAATTTCATGTATGTGTTTTGAAAATTATAGGTCTTTGAAAAAGATATAGAAATTCCACACCCTACGGCAGTCTGTCAACTCCTGTTACTACAAATATTAACTTTTTTTGGATTTTATTTTTACAATGTAATGATGAATAATGCATCTTCAAACTGGTGTCTCAACCTTACTGCCAACTTTTCTCGTTCAGGAAAAATTGCCACTTATTTCCCAACCAAGTATTCCAAAGTAAAACTTTGCTCAACTTTAACTGGCTGTACTGGAAAAAAATGTACTACGAGAGTTTGGCAAGTAACCTTAAAAGTTGGCGCATTTAATAACGATTCCAAAATGGTATAACACTTAAAAGATTACTCGTTAACTTATGCACAATCTTCATTTGAAAACAAACTGATGAAAATTTTTCAAAATTTCCTAATTAAACAGCGATTATGAAAACGCACAAGGACCCTCAAGGATAACTGTTTGCACAACAGTGGGCGTCAAAATGCTGCTGATGATGATTTACCTTTACAGCAAATGCTCAAACTGTTTTCCTTCAGCCGCAATACACGCTCGGTATCTTCTTAAAAAAGATCGGGTTATTAAACGAGCGAATCCACGGTTGTTAACAAACTCAGCTACTTCCAATAGTCTTTGCCGTAGCTCAGCTACATTTTGAATCGGCTTGAAATACACTTTTTCTTTTACAGTTCCCCAGTAAAAAAATCTAAAGGATTCAAATCTGGTGATCGGGCTGGCCACGGTATTGTACCAGACCGCCTTATCCATCTGCCTGGAAAGTTTTGATCGAGATACTCTCTCACTGAGAGTGCATAGTGCGCTGGGCAGCCATCATGCTGAAACCACATGTCCCTGTAAATACTCAGTGGCACGTCCACCAATAAATTTTGTACATGATTTTTCAAAAAATCCAAATAAACTTCAGCAGTCAAAGTCTCTGGGAACTCAAACGGACCGATTATTTTACCATTTAAAATTCCTGTCCAATGGTTTATCTTGAAGCGATATTGAGATTTATCTTCTCTCATCAAATGTGGGTTTGCTACGTGCCACTCGTGTAAGTTATGCAGGTTCATGTACCCATCTTTCTTAAATGTGGTCTCATCCGACCATAAAATTTTTTCAAAGAACTGTGGATCTTTCCTGTGTCTTTCTAACTTGTGCGACAAAAAGCAACTCGGGGCTCATAATCCCGGGACAGGAGAGGTTGAACACGCTGTATGTGGTATGTGTGTATCAAAATTGTGTTCCCTATTTATAAGTGGATTTTTTTAATACGTTCAATAAATTTTCACACACCATGTGAAGCGCTGAAACAGTTAGTGGTAAGTCCGTTTTTTTTTAATTGTTTGCATTTTACGAGTACATTATCAAATAATGAAATAATACCTAAGAGCGAAAAATAACAAACTCCATCTTTATTTACACTGCGTTCCGTCGTAATTTACGTCTGGCATTGCGGCGTTGTCAGATTTTATTTTAAATTAGTCGCTTTTCTCAAAAAAAATAAATGCCATTTTGACCCCCATGTTATATGAAACTTTTTGCTTCTTTTGACGTCCTCTATCACTCATTTAAATAATGACTATCATAACGTTTACCCCCTCTGTACTATGATAATTATAAACACCATTTTGGGCAAAAAAGCAACTCTCCATATTCGACTGAGAATTTGGTCACTGTGTTTATTGTTAATGTAACACATGAAACTGATCGAGTGATTTTTTATGTCGATAATCCCCCATGTTTGCCTGGCCAATGAATCGACACGCTTATTGTATTTCTCTCGTCAAGTCACTTCATTTTAAACCCATATCATATGTGTTAATATGGAAATAATGAATCGCCATTTTGTATCATCCGCCATTTGGATTCAAAATGGAGGCAGTCAATTCATTTTGTATTGTGCAATACGTGTATAATAGTGTTTTTGAAAAGGAAAGTCCTAATTTTCAGAATTCCCTGTACACACTACCAAATATTAATGGCATTGAATAGTTTAAAGTAACAGACTGATTTGACGATCATGAATCGATGTTGTAAAGAAAATAACATGCATTTGGATGTCAAATCTTCTACACGTAGGGTTAAACCCACAGTTTCACTTATGAAATCGGTCGCAGTGTTCTACGGCGAGTTGATAACGTCAAGGATTTGGGCGTGTTCTTCGATCCAAAGCTTTCATTTGGTGACCACATATAAAAATCTTGGATTTGGTATCAGAAACAGTAGATACATCAATTACACTAATACATTTATTTACCTGTTCAGCGGAAAAAGTTATTTTCGCCACTTTATGTTATGTGTAATTTGTCTGAGGATGTCAGCGACCAAAAACAAACTTGGATGTTTTTTAACTCTTCGATGAGTTATACTTTTGTCCGTTTCTTGTCACGCACCATCTATAGTATTTTTTGTATAAATTTGTTTGTTTCCTGCCTGTTAGTTGGAGTTATATGTTCAGGCAGTGTATAGGTTCTAAATAAATGAATAAATTACATTAACAATTTAATGGTCGAAACTGTATCCTCACATTCATTTTTTTAATAATAACAGCATATTTGTATGGCAACTAACTACGCTCATTTTTCAATCATTTTTCGACACCAGAAAGTTTATTTTTCATCACAAGACTTGGCTTTCAAAATAACCAGTGAAGTGGAAATCGTCACAAAAGAAAAAATATTCAAGCATATTGTTATTCCAAATTTACGGAATATCTTTAGAAATATTTATAAAAAGCTCTCCAAATATATAACATGAGTATTATCCTTGCAAACTACCTGACGATCTCAACCACACCTGAAAAGGATTTCAGTCATAAAAAACAAGTTTTTTTGCAGTAATCTCAACATGATCAATTTAAAGTGTTGGTCGAAAGCTTGGCCAGTTAGGTATGAACGTGATGTAATATTTAATAATTTGTTATAGGTATATGACCTCGATTACACGTCCTTGTTCCGTATGTTCGTTATTACCGTTGTTTTCTGCGTTTGGCTTTGATCTTGATATACCTGTTCGATTTAAACAAGCAATCAATCTTAACTTTTACTTCCTACGATATTATGCGAACCGGACGTATTAGTAATCTCCCATATTTTCCGGCCGAATCAAGCCCAATAGGATGAAAATTTCTCTTTCGCTCCCAACGGTGAGCGCCTTCAAGTGCAATTGACACTTTCTTGACAGTATATTTTAATAATAATAATAATAAAATGTCTTTATTAGGCACATTATATACACTACAACATAATGTGACCTCTACGTAGGCGAAGTCTAGCTCTTGGCTACTCTACTTAACCTAATAATAAATTGAAACACTCAATCAAAGGAAACTTTGACAAGCAAAAGACGCTTCAAAACAACGAGTTTGATAGCTTCCTAGCATACATATATACACACATATATTACGTAAAATAAAATAAAATGTAAGAATTAAAAACTAACTTTTCCACAATTACTACAATGACAAATAAATCGGTTTCACATGCTGACGAAATCTGTTTACTGGCCAATCCTTTATGTTGTCATCTAATTCGTTATAAATCAGGATAGCATTGTAAGTGTATGAACTACGAAATAAAGTTGTTTTATACATAGGGATCTCTACTCTTTTTTTGTGTCTGAAATCAATGTCTTAATTATTTCGTCTGAAAACAAATTTCTCATAAAGATACAAGGGGGATCTAGAAGATATGATCTTACGTGTAAACACTGCTATATGGTACTTGCAAGCATTTTCTATACACATCCAACCAAGCTGAAATCTCTTTAAGGAAACATGATCATACTTCTTGAGATTAAATACAAATCGACAACAAGTATTTTGGAGTTTTTGTAGTCTTGCTTTTGTGATAGAATCAAGACAATGATAGAACACAGTGCTACAGTAAAATAAGCTTGGAAATATAATAGCCTCACATAATTTTTTTCTAACTTTAAAATTCAAAATAGAGCGATTGACATAAAAACACTTCAAAGTTGCATAACATTTTTTTAAGATAGACGAAACATGCTCCTTAAACCGTAAAGTATAATCAATAATCAACCCTAAATTTTTTGTAGTATTTACGACAGCTAGACGCTCCTTGTCGATTTTTACATCAAGAGAATATAATATAGTGTTACGTTTGACAGCAGGACAAAAAAGCATCACTGAGCACTTATCCTTATTGAGCTTAAAATTGTTGCCATTTGAGTATCCTACTATTGCCTCCAAATCATCATTAAGCTCATTGATTGAAGTATGCAAAGTGTTACTATTAAAGCTCTTATATATCTGTGTATCATCGGCATAGCACATCACAGAAGAGCTTTTCACAGAGCTACCCAAGTCTATAGTATAAATTAAGTACAACAAGGGCCCTAAAACTGAACCCTGAGGGACACCTGATGTTATATCAATCGGACTAGATATAGTGTTGTCTATCTCTACTACTTGTTTACGATTTGAAAGATATGTTATAAAAAACATTAGAGGTATGTCTGAAAAACCAAAAAACTTCAATTTAGCAGATAAAAGCTTATGATCTATTTTATCGAACGCCTTAGAATAATCTAATGATACAAGTGCTGAAGCATCTCCCTTATCAAGCGAAGCAATGATGTCATCTAAAACCCTTGCTAAAGCTGTAGTTGTACTAAAACCACTGCGGAAACCAGATTGACACTTGGGAAAGAAATCATTATTAGGGCTTGACAAGAGATAGTTTCCAAGCATCAGGCATCGTACAATAAGGAGAAATTTTATTTATTATTTATTAAATCATATTTGGTTTGGTTTGGCCAGACAAACATGTGGATAAGGATAAGTTTCAGATGTAACATCGACATATTAGGTTTTCTCGATACTTCAACCAGATTGACACTTGGGAAAGAAATCATTATTAGAGCTTGACAAGAGATAGTTTCCAAGCATCAGGCATCGTACAATAAGGAGAAATTTTATTTATTATTTATTAAATCATATTTGGTTTGGTTTGGCCAGACAAACATGTGGATAAGGATAAGTTTCAGATGTAACATCGACATATTAGGTTTTCTCGATACTTCGTGGAATCTATTTGAAATCATGCATTTCATTTCGCATTTTCATGGATTTATCTGTCCACGGACCCATTTTTACTCATTCTTTTTTGAGATACTTATTTCCACTACTTTTTTCCTAAAGTACGAATTTTTCTCATTATTTTTGAATGTTTTACAAAGCAGTGGACTGTTCCCTAGACGCTCCATAAAGATTTCCAGTAAATCGAACTATCGATATAAGGTGCATCATGGAAGAGTGAAGCAACCCCACCCCTCTCCGCCCTAAATTTTGATAAAGGCATTCGTTTTATCACACTCCATCCGCGCTCTCGATTTTTTCAATCGCCAACATAAGTGTTGCAACCTTCCCCCCCTCCCCCTCCCCAAGCTGCTTATTTTCATCTCAGACTACTAAATCGTCTGTGGACAGACTGATGTCGTTGTCCATTCATCTTCGGCAAGTAAAACTGTGAGCTTGTCGTTTTTGTTATTATGCATCTAAAAGTATCTTGTACCAAATGAATGTTACTGCTTTCTCTCTTTTCCGAATTTTCGTACAATACTGATTGAACCTTATTCAAAACATACCTTGTGTAACGTTGGCTGCTTTATCTTTGCTGACAGTCTTGGCGTTCTCCTTCAAAATAGAACCAACTATAGCTCCTATACTCGGAAACAAGTCACAACAATTGAAGAACATCGTCTGGTTCACGGTAGCTCGTTTTTGTAAGTCTTTGGGATATAGGGAGTCGTCTTTACCATACTTGTCCACCTGTAATTTAATCGAAGACATCAGTGGATAGACAGAGCTTCGAGATCATAGCATTGATTTACACATTTCGCCAGAAAAAACGCACATCAGCGGTAGATTACTAGTACACAAATGCAAGATCTGTGCATCGGTTTAGATATGGCAGATATGAAATTTGTTTAGGAAGCTGCAACACCACTTACATAAAATAATACTGTTTTCGATACGTAAATAATATGAATATCTTTTAGCTTTATGTTAATTTGGTGTGTTAAGAACAACTATAAGATTAATAATAATAATAATAATATTTATTCACTCAATGTACAAAGATAACAAACAATATGAGTAAATAAATATAAAATCAAAACAGGCCCAATAGAAGGCATCGCCTGTACATGGACCAATAATTTAAGTTGAAACTGTAGAATGCAAATGACAAAAAAGGACAAAAATTAGCTACAGTAGATTATGTATTTAGTTGATGTTCGTATTTATGAGTTTATGAATTTCAGTCCTAGATATAGAATGTAGCCACTTTTTTAAATTTCTTTTGAAACAATTTCCGAAACGTAAATCTTTTAAGTCTTTAGGTATAATTTCATGAAATTTAGGCGCTAAATAGAGATATGATCGCTGCATTATAGATTTATGCGGTTGAGGAACTACTGTGCCACGAATTTTGTACCTGGTATAATGATTATGTTTAATTTTTTGGTCGGTGTTTACAAATTTATGGTAGTGAGTGATACTGTGTAAGAAATAAAGCTGTCTTATATCATACATTCGAACATCTGTGTATAATTTTTCAGTGGGATAAAGTTTCGGTTTTTTAAATATCATTTTTAGAATACTTTTTTGAAAAACATCTAAATTATAGATATGTGAGGAACATGCAGCTCCCCATGCTAATATACCATATGTGAGATGAGGCTCAATCAGTGCATGGTATAATGTTCGAAGATTTTTTTCTGTCAATATATTCCCAAGGTATTTAATTTTGTAGGATACAAATCTAACTTTCTTTAAAATATAATTGACATGGATGTCCCATCGTAAGTGAGGATCCAAGACCACTCCAAGGTATTTTATGTTGGGCACTCTATTAATTTGCATTTTTTGATCATTAATATTGAAGGAAAAATTTGTGTAATTTGGCAGATGTCTAGCATAAGATCCAAATGGTAAAAAATGTGTTTTAGAGTAGTTAATGCTTAATTTTCTACTGTTAAACCACTGAATAATTTTGATAAAATCATTTTCAATTACATTTTTCAGATCAGACCAGTCAGTGCCTTCATATAATATTACAGTATCATCTGCAAAACTAGTTATTTTGCCAACACAATTAATTTGGAAAATATCATTTAAATATATATTGAATAACAGCGGACCTAAGACAGTTCCTTGTGGGACACCACACTTAATATACATTTCTTTACTAAATGATCCTGATATCTGCACAGATTGTGGGCGATTTGACAAATAACTTTCGATCAGTGAGTACGCGTTTCCTCTGAAACCAATTCTCTCCAATGCTTCTAATAATAATTTGTGATTAACTGTGTCGAAAGCTTTCTTTAAATCAACAAAAATGCAGATTGAAGGGATTCTGTTATCAATATTTTGATGTATTTGATTTACAATTTTAGTTATTGCGTCCGATGTAGCCTTCCCTTCTGTAAATCCATATTGATTTTCACTTAAAATTTTGAATTTTGTGAGGTATCGAATCATTCTAGTAGATAAAACTTTTTCAAAAACCTTTGCTACACTGGATATTATTGATATTGGTCTATAGTTGTTAACATCTGTTTTTGTTCGTGATTTATGTATCGGTATTATATTACCTTTTTTTAAAATTGAGGGATATATGCGAGATTCAAAGCATTTGTTGATTAGGTAAGTGAGTGGTTCTGTTATGTCCTCGGCTATAATTTTCAAATGCTCGCTTTTAATACCATCGAACCCAGGACTTTTCCGATTTTTAAGGACATAACAGTGGTGTATACTTCACATTGCTCGACATTATCCAAAATAAATGAGTTCAAAGTTCTTTTTGGAGGCTGAGTATTTTGTACATTTGCTTGTATATTACTTGCTAAATTTTCGCCTATGTCAGTAAAGAATTGTACAAATTGATCGCATATCTGTTGAGTATTTTTTAATACTGTTCCCGATGTTGAATTTAACTCAGTGACACACTCTTTAACTTTTGTTTTCCCAGTAATCTCATCAATAGTATTCCAAAGCCGCTTAGGATCATTTAAGTTATTATTCAATTTATATAGGTAATGTTTTTTTTTTGGTTTGGTTTGCCTTACAAGCTCTATAAATTTATTTTTATATTGGTTGTAGCAGTCGGTATTCTCTGTAGTTGGCGTTAGTTTCATTACATTATATAGTCTTTCTTTTTCTATTGCCGATGTTATTAATCCTTTGGTAAACCAGGCATTTCTGCTTTTCTATTTGTGACTAATTATTACTTTATTGGTACTAATATCTATTAGTTTTTTTATTTTCTCTATGAACAGTCCCATTGCTTTGTCTATATTATTTATAGAGTATAATTGTTGCCAGGATTCTTGTTTGACATTTGATATTACTTTTGAATTGTCGACAAAAAATTTGTAATTTTCCTGGTTGTTATTAACGTTAGGGATGTTAGAATGTTTTTCATTTGAAGATATCAGTAAAATAGTGGAGAAGTGGTCAGTAATATCGCTTTGTAGGATTATTGGTATACAAGTAATTTTGTTGGATAGGTCTTTCACAAAGCAGTGATCTATACATGTGCCACTGATGAACCCTGTAGGTAGGTTTATATAGGACAGAAATCCGTTACTTGATAGGATATTCAAGTATTCATTTGTGATGGGATCATCGTCCAAAATATTTATATTGACATCTCTCAAGAAAATATGTTGCTTTAAATGAACTTTATTTTGATTTTGAAAAAAAAATTCGATATTCTTTAAAAACTCGTGGGGTTCTGACCATGGCGGACGATAAATTGCAGATACCTCAATTTTGTTATGGTTAATTTGGATCATTATGTTTAAAATTTTGATTCCATCGCTGAAAGTGAATGTATCATGATTATATTGCAGTTTATTTCTTACAAAAACTATCACCCCATCGTTTTGGTTATAAGTGCCAAAGTTATACAGCGTGTCATATCCCTGCTGATTGAAGCAAGAAATATCAACCACTTGCCACGTTTCAGTTAAAACTATTAGATCAAAATTGTACCATATTTGGTCGAGTAGTATTTTTAAGTAATCAATGTTGTGTTTTATACTCCTTATGTTCATATTAAAAATTCGAAATTTTGCATCAGAATTTTGTGTACATAAATTAAGTTCATCGACGTTTTGTGCTATATTTGTTGCAATACTTGGAATTTGGAAATCATTAATGTATTTATTTACTACTGACATTTTTAGGTCCTCTTTAGAGATAGGAGTAGTAAAAGATGAACTTGAATTTTAAAAAAGTATCCTTAAGGTTTGTTGTTCCTGATAATATTTGTACGATGGACAGTTTTTGTCGGTAGGTGAGTGGTTATTATAGTTTTTTTTATATCTTTCATTTCCATATCTACAGTTGCAGCATTCTATTGATACATGCTTACAATTTTCTCCTTCGTGACCGTTGCCACAGTTGGCACATATCTTCTCATTCCTGCAATTCTTTTCTGTATGATTAAAACGGTTGCATTTTCTACACTGCGAAATGTCGTTATTTTGATATACTGTCAAACATTGCCATCCCAGAAGTATTCTTCTATTATTGTCTTCGAAGATTTTTTTGAATAACTTTCCAGAAGTTTCCGCGTAGATAGTGTAATTGTTTCTTGATGGAAAATATTTGATAAACTTTACTTGTATGTCTCCACTCTGAATCATATAATTACTTTTGTAGACGTTTGAAATTTTATAATATCTATCCATATCATGATATTAAAATTGTTAATATAGACTATTCTCTTATTCCTAGTTGATGAAAACCGAAGGCATGCTTGGATGATGATATGAAACGAATGACTATCCAATAATTCCAAGGCTTACTCAGCAAGTCTGTTTTTTTTTTAACTGAGGTTTGGCAAGGTCAGTGTATGACAGCTTCATTTTTGGAATCATAATTGAAAACTCGATTCACCTGTGCAAAAATTCAATATGGCGTCTATAAAAAAATGAACTTGACTGGGCTCAAGAGATGAAACTTCATATTTAAATTCAAATTATGTCATCTTTTAGAGAAGTGGCAATGTTAATGTACTTCTTATTTTGAAATCCCATCTCAAATAAAGTCAGAAAAAAAAATGAAACATATTTTGGGGAAATTCAGTTTCATTCGTCACCGGAAATACTCGGAACAACGAAATTTTCTGAATGCATTTTTCTTAGTTGCCTAAATGCGAAACTTTGCTGTCGCCACAAATTATAGGAATATGAAACTTTGGGATTGATCACCAGGAAGGTAGATGAGGAACTTTCTTGAAATGTTGGTTCCATGTTTAAAAATAACCAATTTGCTTTAACAGGGTAATACAGTTTATTTTTATTATTTCTAAGAGAAACACGATGTCTTTTAAATTTTGCATTTTGAAGTTGAGTCATTAATTTTCAGATAATGATTGTAGAAGGAGGATAAACCAAAATATGTGTGAAAAATAAAAAAAAATTAAAAAACCTTGTTTTATAAAGTATCCTCCCGACAAGTATTTCAGTGCGGACCTGTATTTGATCGTGAGGTCTTGGAGCACCGGCATGCCGTCCATATGTGAGGTCTTAAGTCAAATGATTCACGAACCCGTTGTACTACATTAACAAAGGCACGAGGGGTTCGTTGCACTCGATTGGGAAACCGATCCTCATAAATATGAATGAAATAATTGTAAAAACATCGTTCCAAATTCTATCGCTTTTTTGTTTCCGATGCGATGAACCGATAAGGCGGATTATATCCGTTGTCGCCAAACACGAGCACATAATATTATTATTGAGACAGGGCGGTACTCAAACTTCCAAAGGGCTATAACTTTGTTACTTTAATTTTACCAGAAAAATGGTAAAGGGAAAAAACATTTCTTTTGATCAGATCTACTCACTGTTAAAATAAATGACTCAACTTCGAAGTCACCCTGTAGAAACATAGTAGGCCGAACGTCAGTACTGAATCTTAACCTCACTCTTTAGTAAACTTAAATTCAACGTTTCACAACAATATGTGCAGTGTTCTCACTACAATGAATTTTTAAGTGTCACCAAGTCATTAGAAAAATGGAACTCAACCGAGAACATTTTCGCGGTGAAGAAAAGCCAACAAAAGTCATCCGTTCTCGAAGTGTTTGGAAAAAGATGGTCGCGACATTTGTGTCAAAAGCGGGTCATATTGTAACAATTCCTCTTAATGAGCAAAGAACTGTTACTACGGATTGATATACCACCATTTGTTTGCCAAAAGTCATCACCGAGCTTCGAAAAATCAACCCCGAAAGAAGAATCATCCTCCACCAAGACAATGCGAGCTCGCACACAGCCCAAAAAACAAGGCAGTATTTAACGGAAGAAAACGTGGAATTATTGGACCATCGTGCGTGGTCAAAGGTTCCAGAGTCCAGAAGAAGCAGTTGACGCATTCAAAAATGCTGTTTTGGATCTGCCAGCAAACGAGTGGAATAAGTGCTTCGAAAATTGGTTCAAGCGCTTGCAGATGTGTATTAATCTTCGTGGAGAATACTTCGAAAAACAATAAAGTCATTTGAAACTACCTACCGTATTGTTTTATTTCCATATGCAAAACTTAAAAGACATCCCTCGTACTGTGACCCTACTTGGCAACAAGCTGTGATTATAGAGATTGTGAGTAAATTTATGTCGAAATACGGCGTATGGTTGGACATCTTGCAGTATAGGTTAATGATAAAAGCAAATTCCTGACTAAATTCAAACGAAAAGCCTGCAGAATGTCGAAAGTTGGCAGATAAAAACAGCATAATTTAACACTTCACAATGGACAAAGGCACAGCTTAAGGTGCCACACTTGTAGACACCATGCTAGCGCAATCTAACTCATATTGTACCAGAGTATGGTGTCTGATTGTGGAACCTCTTTATATTGCTCGCCTATCAATCTTCAACAGAAATAACGGCTACTTCACAGAACATTCACTTACGCGGGCATTTTGCCTCGATAGCCATCGTGACAAAAATGACTTCAGCAAATTCTGATCACTTGGAGAAAAAAAAAACTGTCAAAACTTATTTTGTGGCGCTTGGAGGAGCGATTTAATAAACGAGGATCTTGAAATTTGCAGTCTCTCTAGTTTCTTTAACCTTTTTTTTCAAACAAACAAAAGTTACGTTTTTTTTTCTTCTAAACAAATTCAAACACTTCGTATTTATGCGTAGTTGAATTTCAAAACAAAGCTGATGTGTCTATCATCTTTTGTTGCGAATTACTCACAAATACGAAGTGTTTGAATTTATTCAGAAGGAAAAACGTATCCCATCCTTTTTTGCATAAAAATAACCTTTATCTTCCGGAATGGTTTGCGATTCATATCGGCAAGGTAAACTAGTGTATTTTGCTATAAAATGCCCTTTGAACTAACCCTGTATGTTGCTCCATAAACTAGTAGTAGTGGCCAGAAAACAGGTGTTTTTTGATAAAGAATTCTCAAAAACTACTTGGCCCATCTACTCCAATTTTGTTGTGGTTATTTAGAAGTACGAATCCTACGAATTTGAAAAATTTCAAATATCTGCTAGAAACAATCGTCGCATTTCCAACAAGTACCAAAACCTGCATTTTGCCTCGGGTTTTCAGCCTCATTTTATGCGTCCATGTTTTAAATACCTCCTAGAACAACTTGCAGCTATAAAACCAGACTTAACAATTATTTTGCAAACCAGGGGTATTTTCGTCTAATATGATTAGACTATTGTTTATTTTATATTTTATGTGTAAAATGATGTCTACTAACTGTCTACTAACGTTCGTGCCTCAGTTGCTTCTCCAGACTGCACAAAGTACGTTTCGAAAAGTTGTTTGCATACAGTAATAAAAATTCGATATAATACAGGTCTTCCCTAAAAGATGTCACTCCAACCCCCCATTTCTGACGTATCCCACCGTTTATGGACTATCCGTTCACGAGGCACTCAATAAATTCCACGTGGTCTAGGCCAATCTTCGCAACTGCTGGCATTTTTTGCACAACGTTGAAACGAAGCTACACGTTACCAGTCCCAAATTTTCGTGTCGTGCTTTAAACATTTCATTTTAGCACATTCTAAGACTTTTTTTTTCGCTCCGGTGAAAATGTTTTTGCATTTTTTGTGACATCCTGAACAAAAAAGGTGCCTTGAAACTTTTCCTGAAAGTTGATAGTTTTCCAAATTTAAGCGATACAATATTTGCAAAAGCCCTAAAGCAGCTTTTTTGTTCAGAATGTCCCAGAGTCAGATTATGGCAAAAGTCCTAATCAAAATATTTTTCCCACCAGATGTGAATATATTGCACTAAGGGTGGATTTCACAATTTAACAAACCAGTATTCTGCACCAATAGGGTACGAGTACCAAAAAGTCCGTTAAATATACCCAATCAGCCTCAAGATCTCTCCGTCAAATTTTTGCCAGCAAATAGCATCAATGTATTCAAAACAAAACACTGTAAAATATGAAGTGACAGCTTGCCATTGAAATCTTTTCAGTTTATTAAATATTATGAAATTATGTAAAACTGAGCCAAAATTTTTAAAAATGCTTGATGTCTGAGTAAAATCTATTTTTTCAGATTAGCTGAAGGTTTTTCCATGTTTACTGCAACTTTTGTAATCCATATGTGATTATATCACCTACTGTGTGCTTATAGTTTATCCTATATTTGCAAACTTGCACTTCCAAACCCTTACATGAAAAAGCCTTTTCACTAAAATTTTTGTTAGGTGTTGCATTTCAACACATTCATACACTTCTTTCCGGTTCCTCAACGATATTTTAACCCCACTGGTCCGAAACTGTTCAACAGTTTCAACATTCATACATACAATTGCAGTTGCAGTTTTTTGTTTTAATTTCAGTGTATAATCAGTCGCACCATCGGTGATGGTACATTCAACATAACCACGTATTTAGGGGTTCGTGCAGATTTAACGTGTACGCGACGTCATCATTAGGCGCTCCTTTGGCGATGTCCGATTGCGTTCAGGTGCCTTCTGCAGGTACCTCTTCACCACGGTCAGGCGTTGATACCAGCGCGGCTCTCGTTTTTTTTTTGCTCTAGGCATGGCCATCCTCAATTAATCGCACAAAAAACAAGTCCAAGGCAGAAAAACACACCCGAAGACGAACACCAAAACAAATCTCTACCGCAAATTGATAACTTATACTTCTATTAGTAGGATTCAGTACCTACCAGATAAGCGTTTATAGCATGACTGTCGAACACTACGAAATCACCATCCTTCAACGTCGGCACCGTGTGTAGTGGATTCATCTTGAGGTATTCAGGCGTCATGTGTTCCCTAGCCATCAGATTGACCGGCTTCATTTCTACGTCCAATCCGAGGGCCTTGATCGTGAGCAAGGTGCTCCGTACCGCGGGGCTCATTTCAAGGTAGTACAGCGTGAGCGGCATTTCGATTTATGCGGTGTCGCGGGTTCGAAAGCAAAAGTTAGACTGGAAGGTCCGCGTAATCCGAGCAGGTTTTTATGCGAGAATGAGTACGGTGTAATGCGAGATAATGGACTTCATAAACGTGAATCATCGTGATGGGGATTTCGATGGTTGCGAATGAGCGGGAAACACTTGAGGGAATATCGCTAAGTCACCATCATTGTCACGTATACTTTATCTGAAGTCACTTGAAATAGCATAAAAACCTTTGGTCGGCGCGTCCTTTGTAATTTCATGACGTATCATAGGCGTGCGGTCATTTATTTAGAACGATAATAATAATGTTTTTATATCACAATAAATGGATTCTACTATCTTCTTATTTTTTTGATTTGGGATAAAAAATACTTATATTGGGAGTTTAATTTATGTTGACTGAAAGTTAAGAAATGGAAAAATTACAGAATTCCCACGTTTGACATAGGCAAATATTTACATAGCAGGTAGGTATATAAAAAGGTATATAAAGACTTACATTATAGGTATTTATATATCATCCTCGCCTTCGGAGCTGTCGCTAGAGTCATCTTGTAGAGGAATTACAACGGGATTTACAGGAGGCAAAACACAATATTCATTTTCTTTTTCAATAATATGCCTAGAACACTGCTTCCATAGGTCTGTGGCAGCAATATGAGATACTGCAACTCTTATTGTGGCCAATAGCGATTCACTTAATTGAGGGGTCTGATTATGTTTTCTTACTTTTTTTTTTAAAGCAGCCCAGACCAACTCAATCGGGTTAAAAATGCAGTAATAGGGAGGTAGACGTAATACTTCATGGCCATTTTGCTGAAGCAGATTGTCAACAACATACTCTTTTTCAAATTTTTGTCTTTTAATAAGATCCAATAATATGGCTTTGGTTGATTTTTGTGGTATTTCCATTCCCTTATCCTTCATAAAATCAATAATGTCTTGTTTTTTTGTGCCTGTATTCGGAATTTTGTTTTTCTGTCGGGAATGGTATGGCGCATTGTCCATAATAATCACTGAATTTGGGGAAATGTTTGGTATTAACTGCTGCTCTATCCACTTTTCAAATAAGTCGGAGGTCATGTCGTCATGATAGTCGGCACATGATTCATTGATATTTTTGGCAGGCATTAGGTATAAATCCATTTTCACTGCCAGCATGGAGAATAATGATTCGTTTTCCACGGTTGCATGGTGCATTTAAAATGCACTTGTTGCTGTCGTCAACCCAGCCGTACTGCACAACATCATGGGTATCATACCACGTTTCATCCAGGTAAATCAGATTTCTTTTCTGCACTCTATAGATTTTAACTTTGTGCAAAAATTCTTGGCGCAATTCAACAATTCGAGACGACTCCATAATCACCATTCTTTTATCTAATTTTTTGTATTGAAAACCACACAGTTTTACAATACAGTGCAGTGAGTCTAAGCATTTGTAATTATAAAAATCTTCAGGATAATCTTTTAATTTATCCCGTATCATTTCCAACGTGGGCACCAAATTTTCTTTATAAAATCCGTATATTATACGACGAATATCTTCCTGAAAACCCACGTCTATTCTTTTTAATTTTTACCCTATGCGCTTTCTGTGGAAGGAATGGTTGACTACATCTCCCCTTTTTATAACCCGATCAATGGTAGACCGACTGTCTGTTTAAAATTTGATTTTGCGAGGAATCTGGATTTTCGTTTTTCAGACAATCATACATATTTAGGATTACTCTTTGGGTCTGTTCCTCTAAATCTTTATGAAAGAATTCTGCCTGCACAGGTTCATCAACCATCTCCTCGTGGCTTGGAGCATTTTCCCAAGGTCTCCAAAGAGCCATATTTAGGACACACAAGAACAATCAACACAACAATTAAATCAACAAGTAAACCGAGTATTCAAAAGTCAAAAACACACAAACTAATAAAATCTATGAAAAAACACGGACAGACTAAAGAAAACACGTTTATTCACCGCTAGACGGCACTGGCTAAACTGTTTCAATTTTCAGTAGCCACCTGCACTTGTTCGGAGCTCTGAAATACACGCTTTCTCATTGGCTATGTCCACGCATAGGCGTGCTTTACTCCACGTGGACCGGTGAAACTGCCTTTGATCTTATACGGGGGATATGTGCTGCGAAGTTTGGCGATTTTTGCAGCAACAGAGCGTGTTAAATATAGATATATAAAACGCACCCGGTATTTCACAGTGTTTCAAGTGACTTCAGATAAAGTATACAGATTTTAGACTGTGACATACGAGGTAGATTTGTGCTTGCCTCCATACACACAAAGGAACTAAAAAGAAATTATATTTTAATGAACTTTGAGAACGTTAAAAACCTAATTACACCATCACAACATTGCTTCTTGAAAGGTAGATCCACTAAACAATGTTTCACGCTTTGACGCCTAAGAAGGTGATCAGCTGATCACCAAGTGATATCTTTGTATTAGTCTCTAACGTTGGCAATAACGAATCGGGTGTAAACCTAGAAAATTTGCTTGTAGCTTTTCAAAGAATTGTTACCAAGTACAAAATGAATCTGTAGTGTATAAAATACCAAAACAAATTATCACTCTGATTACCAGACGTTGATGGATATGTCAGAATTATGTGTCGTTTGTCGATATGGAGAATTTTGAAATATGACTAGATAATCAGCTGTCATTCTACCGTAATGGATAGGTACTCGTGAAAAAGACTTTATGACAAACTTAATGAAGACAAATACGCAATATACAGGGTGACTTCGAAGTTGAGTCATTTATTTTAACAGTGAGTAGATCTAATCAAAAGAAATGTTTTTTTCCTTTAACATTTTTCTGGTAAAATTAAAGTAACAAAGTTATAGCCCTTTAGAAGTTTGAGTACCGCCCTGTCTCAATAATAATATTATGTGCTCGTGTTTGGCAACAACGGATATAATCCGCCTTATCGGTTCATCGCATCGGAAACAAAAAAGCGAAAGAATTTGAAACGTTTATCACGATGTTTTTCGTCAGTCGGTAACGCGTGAGTGAATAGTGGTGTTTGTTGCGTGACTCAAGCGAAATGAAAAATGGCACATGTTTACGAAAATGCTGAACTTGTGGACATGATTCTTATTTACGGGGGGGCAGTCTTTACAAAATGCTGCCGGATGCATCACGGATTTATGCGAATTGGTTTCCCAATCGAGTGCAACCAACCCCTTGTGCCTTTGTTAATGTAGTACAAAGGGCTCGTGAATCAGGTGACTTAAGACCTCACAGGGGAGTGCATGCCGGTGCTCCAAAACCGCACGATCAAATACAGGTCCGCACTGAAATACTTGTCGGGAGGATACTTTATAAAACAAGGTAACATTTTTTTTTAATTTTTTTTATTTTTACACACATATTTTGGTTTATTTTCCTTCTACAATCATTATCTGAAAATTAATGACTCAACTTCAAAGTATAGCAGAATCGATAGACAATAAACAAGTTGATGCTATTTTCATAGATTTTAGCAAAGCTTTCGATAAGTTGAATTATCACCTTCGCACGGGTGATTTTTTAAGAGGAGTAGGATTTGATTTTCAAAAAAAAACAAAAAATTTGAAAAAAACGATTAAATCTTTATTTGAGTCGATAGAACGGTCGATATAATTTAATGTTTAAAGATTATTTCGTGTAAATGTTGGCCCCGGCTCCGCTTTAGATGGCCCATGCGCAAGGTCCAATTTTGGCACACTCTCTCCAACATATCGGCTGGTATCTCACGAATAAATGCTTCAATATTGGCTTCCAATGCATCAATCGTTGCTGGTTTATCCCTGTAGACATTAGCCTTAACATGGCCCCACATGAAATGCAACGGCGTTAAATCACACGATCTAGGCGGCCAATTGACGGGCCCCGCACGTGAGATAAACTGTTCACCGAACTCGCCTCTCAATAGGGCCATTGTTTCATTTGCGGTGTGGCATGTGGCACCGTCTTGTTGAAACCACATGTCAGCCAAGTCCAGCTCTTCCATTTTGGGCAAAAAAAAGTTTGTTATCATCGCTCGGTAGCGCTCGCCATTCACAGTTACGTTCCGGCCATTGTCGTCTTTGAAGAAGTACGGCCCGATGATGCCACCGGCCCAAAATCCACACCAAACAGTGATTTTTTCGAGATGCATTGGTAGCTCTTGCTTCTGGCTGGTCTTCACTCCAGATGCGGCAATTTTGCTTGTTAACGTACCCATTCAACCAGAAATGAGCTTCGTCGCTGAACACAATTTTTCGCTAAAAATGTGGATCATCCTCCAACTTTGCCAGCGCCCATTCACCAAATTGGAAACGTTGTGGGAGGTCGTGTGGCTTCAATTCTTGCACCAGCTGTATCTTATAAGGTTTTACACCCAAATCCTGTCGCAAAATTTTCCACGTAGTGGAGTGACAGAGGCCCAATTGCTGCGAACGGCGGCGAATGGACATTTCACGGTCATCACTAACACTGGCAGATACAGCCGCAATATGTTCGTCACTCCTCACTCTACGTCTGCGTGTTGGTGGTTTAATGTCCAATAATGTAAACTGGGTTGGAAATTTAGTCACAAGCTTCCGAATAGCTCCCTCAGTAGGCCGACAAAATTGCCCATAAATTGGAAGCAGTGCTCGATGCACTCTCTTAACCGAGCATGAATTTTGATAGTAAAATTCAATAATTTGCAAGCGTTGTTCGTTCGTAAGTCGATTCATGGTTGAATTATAGACCAAACTGAACAAGTTTGACAATGACACAAGACACGATTCACGCGTCATCTGTCAAAAACTGTGTTGCCAAAAAGATACTAGCAAAAAAATCACCCATTAGTAGCCTTCGTTACTTCGGCCTCAGTGAGTCGATCTCCTAAGATCACATCCACCCAATAGAATACAAACTGTTTATGCATCTATTACAAATCTTACACGACTCAGGAATCAGAGGCAAGGCTTATAGAGTCATGAAAAGTTACCTTTCCAACATAACACATACAAATAAATAATTCCTTAAGCACAAACAGATTAGTAACTTATGGTGTCCCACAAGGGACAGTGTTAGGCCCCTCAATATTTACACTTTACATTAATAGCCTGTTTAGCTTAAAATCTGAAGGAACAATCATACGTTTTGCAGACGATACTGCTATCATTT